CAAATATAAATATAAATATAAATATAAATACAAATATAAATATACATATAGATATAAATACAAATATAAATGTAAATATTAATATTAATATTAATACAAATATAAATATAAATATAAATATAAATATAAATATAAATATAAATATAAATATAAATATAAATATAAATATAAATAAAATATAAATATAAATATAAATATAGATATAATTACAAATATAAATATAAATATAAATATAGATATAATTACAAATATAAATATACATATAGATATAAATACAAATATAAATGTAAATATTAATATTAATACAAATATAAATATAAATATAAATATAAATATAAATATAAATATAAATATAAATATAAATATAAATATAAATATAGATATAATTACAAATATAAATATAAATATAAATATGTATATATATTCGCTAGGATATACGAGAGATTCTCTCTCATCGGCTTGCAGTTGTCAAAGTGCTCTTGCCTTTTGATCATTTCCCATCGGACTCATTTGCCCAATGGCCAGTTCGAGACAGCAACAGAAGATACATTTTTTCCAACCGCTTTTTCTATTCATAAAACAATTTAGCTAGTTTCTTATGATGACTATCTATAGTGCTGTGAATGAGTATAGCTTTGTGTGTATAGATGTGTTTTGTTGTCAACATTGTCAGTGGATCTTCATACCTACTTTGCATGACCTGCACTATCATATTCATATGCACACTCACGTTGGTTCGCAGCACTAGAGATAGCCAAATCTGTTTGTAATTGTCATTATTTTGTTTTTTCTATCAATGCCGACATTGGTTTTGGCGACTTTACTTTTGTGCAAAAGTGTGTTTTATGAAAACGAGAAGGGATTGCAGTTTGATGTTCATCTGACGTTCAGGTGGAAGCAGATGAAGATTGTGACAGCCGAATTCTGACACAGTACGTCGTGAAGGAGTGACAGACGAAAGCTGAGTTTGCGACGTTCAGGCGAAATGGGATCAGTCGTCGTCGTCCAGCAACAGCGGCCTACGCGAGACCGTCCATGAAGCATACATTTTGGCGAAATGGCGCTTATTTGAAGAAGGATTGTTGCTGAGCTGCATCAAATAGCATCTCACTTTGCCGGTTTGCCTTTCATCACCCTCCCCCGCAACTGGTGCACCTCTCGAGAGGGTAGAAGAGAATCAAGAAAAAGTGATTCTCCAAGTCTACGTAGACATACAAATGTGTACGCAAATACGTGCATGCATGCATTCATGCACATTCGTACAGAAGCATAAGCGTGAGTAACTGAGGGGATGGGAGAAGAAAGAGCCGGACGGTGCTGTCCATTTTATTGTAGGCATGCATGCCAACTGCGAGGATGTCCGTCGAAAAGCTTGGCATCATGTCTCCGCAAGCCGTAGACGGTTGTTGCCTAGGCAACAAGTCTTGCTTGTCTCCTGCAAGCACGAGGAAACCGCTGCTACTGCCAGGCGAGATCAAAGCAGTCTCAGAGACCTTGTTGCGCAGGAAACCAGTCGGTGGCACAGACGACCGAGATTGAAGCGTGTCGAGATGGAAAAGTCTCTGACGGGACTCGAACTCATCTGCCTTCATGTCGTTTAGCGAAGTCTGGCTCGAAACATTTGCCTGTGTGTTAGGTACCCCGAACACATACACGCACAATCACAGCATCGCGCTATGCTGAGGTCTGATATTTCGCCTGAACGCGAGGTCCGTTTGTGAAACACATGCAAGCGTTTCCATTGTGGTTGTACTTGTTTTCAAACCATTTGCTTAGAACACGCAATCGCCTCATGTGGACCTCGTTTCTGACAGCCGCTTTTACGGTCGAAGAGGCCGAAAGAGCGGTCAATTTGACCAACGATTGTCCGTGATCCTGGGCCGCCAGTTCTCAGTTGCCATGGTGACAAATGACTTGTAGTCGGATTTTCCCACAATCGTATCAGTAGAGCTGTTTTTTCGAAATGTATTCTCATTCCGGCTCGAGTGAACAGCAGTTTCCAGACTCAAATTGTCATTGTCTGTGCAAGAATGACGCTCTGCTCCGGGCATATCTTGCAACTGATACGAGACATGGAAACTTGTCACGTTGTCATGGCAACCGAAGGGGAGACTGCCTCAGCGACAGTGTCATTAAGAATGTTTCAGCTATCGGTTTCTGTCGTCGGCATCAAACACTTCTCGACCAAAAAATGCCTGGCATCAGTCAAAACTGTATCTCTCCTATTCTCGCTACTTTTGCCAATCCGTGGTCGGTTTGTTGTCGGGTTGTTTGTTGTTGCTAAAGCCAACTGGCGCTTTGGCAAATGTCTGACATCGGAAGCCATCAAAGTCGAGGCTAGTTTGTCAGACTCAATTCGAGGAGAGGAGATTTCTCGAGGAAACCGTGCGAGTGGCAACTAGACGAATAGAAAGAATAAACACTTTTGTCCAATCAGCTCTTGAACTCCGCCTTTCAAGACCTGCCCAGAAGAGCTACAGTATTTTCCTTGTGAGTGCGTTTCGAGGTTAGAACCTATTGTTGAGGAAGAGCTACGTCAGACGACGTCGTTTAAGGTGATTTAACGACGCATAATTATGCTTTTCGTTCATTAATTTAGATTGTCTAAAATGGCATCAATAGGCATCGTCAAGGCCTATTCATGTTCTTTTGGGAAATGTCAAATTATTCACCATTTAATCACAGAAAACAATCTTGTCTGGTAAAGTTCTTGTCTTGTCTAACAGTAAATCGTGTATTTAAGATGAATTTGTCTTATTCCCACCAAGTTGATGAACGACTGGAAGTCGTTCAATGTTCCCACATTTGCGTGCGTAGTCCTCAAGCTTCTATTGCATGTTTCGCAGCCCTTCTTGCCAAAAGTTATTCCCATCCAGAATAGATTGAACTGCAGTTTGGATCTCACATGAACTGGTCTCATCAGAACCGAGTCTTAGAATTGCAAGCCACAGCCTCGAGGCAGTAACTACCAGGCCGTTGCTGTGGCAACTTTCAATGCGTATGTAGGTATGTGTGATGAAGAGATTTGTGCGTCGATCTTATCAGAAGACGACGGTTATCTCGCCTTGTTCCGTAGCCCAAGTTCAAATCGACGCAAGTCTCGAGACGTCCTTTCTCGTTTCAAGTGAAGACGAGCTCAGCTTTCGTCCATCAAATGATGCACATCTCGGCTTAACACAAGGTCGACAATACCATCGGGTTATAGTTTACGTCTTCCATTTCCTAATAACAAAAAACAAACAACATATGTCCACATAAATGGATATAGAATGATTTAACTTTTTCCTTTCATATTAGTTGTGATACTTTTACTTGTGTGCGTGTGTGTGTGTGATGCTAGTGTCTATACACAATACCGGTGATAAATCAGAGTGATTAGAAAATCATGATGAGTGAGTTCCTGGTCTCATGATGGCCGTCATTTGGTGGACGAAAGCTGAGCACATTGTCGCCCGAAACGAGAGCGGCAACCTGAGAGTCGCATAGAAACCAAATGGTTGCGGTAAAATGGGAATAAGCCGAAGAATTCTGGTGAAATTGACCTACGAATCTCTTAAACAGACACACTTTTACACAAAATAAACGTCTCAAGAGATACATCAATTCTCAATTGCTCTTTGTATTCATTAAACCATGCAATGAGTCAGAGTTAAGATGTTATTTGCAAGAAAGGCCAAGCTTTCACCAAATCCCATTTCTGTAGTGGGATTGTGGATGAGGAAAAGTCCAACTTGCTGTTACAATAGACTTTCTGGATCAATTGCAATGGGTTACGTGTCGAGACTGTGGGCGGCATCACCATGACCTGGGCTCGAGTCCCGATGTGGAGCTGAGGAGAAACGATAAGGCGAGGTCGAAACTGCCGGAAAATTGGCTCCATGCGAGTTGAGCTGAGATAAGAATAGCTTTTTTGGAAGCAAGGCTTAGTAAAATTGAATGGAAACTTCGGGCATAGCAACTTGATTGTGGAAAAAATGCAACTATTAGTCCGTAATGACGTGAAAAGAAATGTGATTTTTATTAGAGGCAACGATTGACGTGCTATTCAAAGCTTAAGGCAGATTATGGGAAAGTAAGCCACGAATGTCACGCAACCGGAAATGATAGGATACAGATCTTGCGGGTTGCAGTTTGATAAAGCCATGTCGTATCAACATTTCCAGCGAAGTGTGTGTGTGTGGGGGGGGGATGATGAGAAAATCAGTTGCCGTACTTGCTCAAACTTTTGGTATTATTATTTTTTCGTTGTCGTACTTTAAAGAATATGATGCAAGGATTCGTTAAAATTTTGATATTCTTTATAGTTAGTTGAGGTGTTTGAGAATAGATAAAGTAAGGATTCTTCAAAATACTGATATTATTAATTTTTTCGTTACTGTTATTGATTATAGATAATGCAAGGATTGTTCAAATTTCTGATAATATCAAACTTTGGTTGCCGTTGCTGACAGTAGATAATGCAAGGATTCTTAAAAATGGTGATCTTATTAATATTTGGTTGCAGTAGTTGATGGTAGATAATGCAATTATTCTTCAAAATTCTGATATTCTTAATTCGTAGTTCGGATGTTGAGAATAGATATGGCAAGGATTATTCAAAATACTGATAATATTAATTATTGGTTATTGTTTTTGAGAGTAGAAAATGCAAGATTCTTTAAAAATTCTAATAATAATAATTAGTGGTTGCTGTTTTTGAGAGAATATAATGCAGAATTCTTAAAAATTCTGGAATTATTAATTTTTGTTTGCTGTATTTGAGAGTAGATAAAGCAAGGATTCTTCAAAATTAAGATATTCTTAATATTTGCTTGATGTTGTTTAGAATGGATGATGCAAACATTTTCAAAATACTAATATTATTAATATTTGGTTGCTGTTATTGATTGTAGATAATGCAATGATTATTCAAATTTCTGATTTTATTAATATTTGGTTGCAGTTGTTGGTGGTAGATTATGTAATAATTCTTCAAAACTCTTAAATTCTTAATTAATAGTTGCTATTTTGTAAATAGAGAATGCAAGAATTCTTCAAAATACTAAAATTACTATATCTGAGATGATGCTGATGAACAAAGAAAATAAAAATATTCTTCCAAGTTGTGATATTATTAATATTTGAATGCTTTTAATGATAGAAGATCTATAAGTGTTCTTCAAAGTTGTAATAGTTATAATGTTTGGTTGCTGATGTTAAGTGTAGATAAATAAACTATTTTTCAAAATTGTTGTTTTATTTATTTTTGGTTGATCTCGTTGAGGATAGATACTGCAAGGGTTCTTCAAAATACTGATAATATTAATTTTTATTTGCTGTTTGTAATAATAGATAATGCAAGGATTCTTTAAAAATTATAATATTATTTATTATTTGAAATTGTTGTTGAAAGCAAATACTGCAATTATTCTTCAAAATTCTAGTATTATTAATTTTTGTTGCTGTAATTGAGAGTAGATAATGCAAGGATTATTAAAAATTCTGATATTATAAATTTGTTATTGCCGATGAGGTGAACAGATAAGTCGTAATTATCTCGAATTCTGATATTAATATCTATTGTTTGCCCTTCGTGAGAGTAGATAATGTACGTTGTATTCAAAATTAGGATATTATTTATTTTTTGGTTGCTGTTCTCAACAGTAGATAATGCAAGGATTTTTCAATCTTATGTTATTCTTAATTTATGGTTGCTGGTGTTGAGAATTGTTATTGTAAGGATTCTTCAAAATACTGATATTCTCTAATTTTGATGTTGTTGTTGAGAGTAGCATATGCAAGGATCCTTCGAAATTCTGATATTATTAATATTTGCTTACTGTAGTTGAAAGTAGATAGAGCAATATTCTTCAAAATTCTGGTATTATTTATTTTTTGTTGGTGTTTTTGAGTGTTGCGAATGCAAGGATGCTTCAAAATTCTGAAATTATTAATATTTAATTGCTTTTATTGAGCATAGACAATGCGAAGATTTTCCAAAATTCTGATATTCTTCAAAATATTAATATTATACTTTTTTTCTTTGTTGTTGTTGAGAATAAGTAATGCAAGGATTCATTAAATTTTTAATATTAATAATTTTT